CCAGCCACCCAGTGATGGCCCAAGGTGCAGGCAAACCTTGAATGGCAGCTGCCCAACTGCCCAGGGCTGCCTGAGGCTCAGATAAACAGGGCCAGCCAAGGCTTGTGCTGCCAGTAGTGGCAGCAGCAGGGGTGTGATGGAGTGTCGGCTTCCCCTGATTGCGGGGTTGCCTCCCACCCCTGAGGGCTCCCAGACTGTGAGAAGGGGCAGGCCAGGCTGAGGGACCACCCCTTCCGTGCGTGAATTTTCACACACCAGGCCTCTAGTATATATAATAATAAAAGCATAATATTAGATTGGACATCCTTCTGGACAAAGCCAAGGCTGCAAGGGAAGCCTGGGTTTCCAGATGCCTGCCGGTGGCTAGAGGGAAGCCTGGGTGCCAGAGGGAAGCTGGTGCTGGCAGCTGGGAAAAGGAAGGCCTACTCTTGCACAGATTTCATGCATCAGGCCTCTAAACTATATGTGTGTGTGTGTGTGTGTGTGCGTGTGCGCGCGCACGTGTGTGTGTGTGTGTGTATGTATGTATGTGCATATATATATATATATATATATATATATATATATATATATATCTCACATATATAAATAACATATAGCATATCAAGGTGTCCCCAAAAATGTATATACACTTTAACATCTGATAGCTCAATTTTTCAAAATTTCTTTTTTTAAATGTTTTTATTATTTTTTATTTTTCTTTTTTTAGAGAGAGAGAGGAAGAGAGAAAGATAGAGAGACAGAAAAATTGATCAGCTGTCTCCTGCATGCCCCGCACTGGGGACTAAGCCTGCAATCCCAGCATGTGCCCTGACCAGAAATCAAACTACAACCTCTTGGTTCATGGGTTGACACTCAATAGCTAAGCTACATCGGCCAGGTCTGATAGCTCAATTTTGAAAATGAAATGCATTTTAATAAACACTGCCTCTATAATTATTCAAAGAACATGTATACTTTTGGGGGAACACCCTACATATGTTATATATAAATATAAAATACATAACATAAATATTATATGTAAAACATATTTATATTTTATAATATACAACATAAATATAAAACATGTATATTTATGTATAAAACATTTTTATTTTATAATATATAACACACACACACACACACACATATATATATATTTCATTTTCCACTTTGTCCTTATGGGGGATTTTTGACTTCTGGGACCACTCTGAGCTCAACTGAAGCTGAGAGCTGAGAGGTTTCTGAGAGTTACTTCTGTTATATCTGTGGTGTGAGGATAGGGATGTCTTGACTGGCCTTACAAAAAGCCTAAGGCATGAGTTTGAAAGTGCACCTTTAATGTGCCAGATTGCACAAGTGTGAAAACCTAAGCCAGCAACAATTTAGTAATAGTGTCCATAGGATAAGATTTCTGCTGGAAAATGAAAAATTATGCAGGGAGATGAAAATGTTTTCAAACCCCTTAGCTATTAGTAAATGTTTGCCAAGGAAACACTTACAGAATTCTCTGGAGGTTCTAAAAGATTAGAAGGCATATGGGCAGGGATCCAAGTGGCTCTCACCCTGGGAAATTTTGCCATTCTTACTATCATTAAAGAAACCTTTATAACGAGTCCTTCCATTTCTACTCTAAGTATAAACATTTGCGGGTATAACAAACGTAACTTTCTAAATCTAAACTTAAATAGGAAAGTGCACATTCAAATAAATGTTTGTAGAAATATTTTACTTGAAAAAATGCAAAGAATAATGTATCATGAAGTCTGAAAGTAGATGATTTTGAAACTAAAGGTATAATATACGATTTCAACCATCACTACAGTTATGAATTAAAATGTTGAATTGGTTGTATGTTTATGTAGATCAGGGGTGGGGAAACTTTTTTTTTCTTCTGTCAAGGGTTATTTGGATATTTATAACATCATTGGTGGGCCATACAGAATTATCAACTTAAAAAATTAGCCTGCTATATTTGGTCAAACATTTAATCAATTCATCCCTAATGCCTTGGCAGGGCTAGACCAAATGATTTTATGGCCCTAATATGGGCCCATGGGCCAGACATTTCCCACCCCTGATTTAGGTGAAGACTAAGTCAAAACTTGGTGGGGGGAAAAAAATGTCTCTAATTATGCAATAAGCATGTTCATGATAGAGGCATTGGTCTAAAAGTGGTAGAACAGGGCAAATTGCAAATGCTCCAACTTATATTTCATTAAGAAATAGAGCATTTGCCTACCTGAAGATAAAAAATGCAGCTGTAATGGAGCTGATTGACCCCACTAATGCTTTCACTAATTCATCTCTTCATAAACTTGATATTGTCAGAACATAACTAATTTCTTCACTGAGTAAGGCTAATCCTGAATATTTAGTTCTCCTTCCTTAGTTTTCCTGAATATTGGTTTCCTTTTATTTATACCAAAATGCAGATTCTGACCACTTCCAACACCTACATGACTATCACTCAAGGCTATCATCATTTGGGCTGTGGCTTTGTCTTCATGCTTCTACCCTCAACCCTAAGCAGTTTATTCTCTATACTAGAGGCCTGGTGCACAAATTGGTGCACAGGTGGGGGATCCCTCAGCCTGGATGATCAGGGCTATCTTGCCCAGTCCCAATCGGGGCCATTTGGGGCCAGCTGGCTGGGGGAAGGGACTGCAGGAGGTTGGCTGGCCATGGGAGGTTGACTGTGGGAGTGCACTGACCACTAGGGGGCAGCTCCTGTGTTGAGCCTCTGCCCCGCTGGTGATTATAGTGTGTGTAGTACAGACTGGTCAATGTAATAGTCATTTAGGCTTTTATATGTATAGATAGAAGTTAGTGTGGTCCTTCTAAAACAAAGGTCAGATTATGTCAGTCTTTTCTACAGAAAAGCACAGAATTCTTCTGTTTGGATCAGGCAGCATCTTCAGTTACCAAAAGAGTGCCTGCAATATAGTGGACTTTATGACTTATAAATGAGAAAATACTTATATCTGTTTTCCCCCACCTTTATGCATGTAATCTTCCTTAAATTATCCTTAAGTCCAAATAGATAAAAGAAGCCACAAATTGCCATACTCTGAGCATTTTTCTCAGTTTGTTGAGATATTGATTCCAGGCATATCCTCCTTTTGGCTCCAATACACATTCATCAAAATTCTCTATAGATTTGGATGTTCTTACATTGACAAAATCTCGGAAGATATGCAAGAGTTGGGAAAATTACAACCTCCAACAATCAGTAAGTCTCTCAGCGGAATAGAAATAATTACATAGTCTATCTAAAACTTATCTGTGGTAGTCCATCACTTAAGTTTATCTCTAAGCAATACATGACCTTTTCCTATTTTATTTCTCTAGCTCAAAGAAAGCAGAAATTCAATCATTATGAGGGCACTTAAATAATTACATTTCTACTTACACTTAAACGACCTATTGTTGTAGATTAGTGCCAAATGAGATATATATATATATATATATATATATATATATATATATATATATATTAATGTCACTTAGGAATTTGGGATGCAATTTTATAGCCTGCTGCTTCTTAGTCAAAAGCACTGTAATTCTGAAGACTTCTTAGTCACAAGCACTGTAATTTTGTAAGAGTGCAGCTATTTGTGTGTATAATACCAAATCATCTGTGATTAATAAAACTTGAGAAAGAAGGGAGGCAAGGGGATTCAGCCTTTCAGTAACATGCTTATCTTACGCTTGCCAAACTTCTCTTAGGCAATACTCTATGCTCCGGGGGCCTTGTGTTTAATTGTAAAAATCTGTCAGTATCCTAGGATTGAAAAGACATCAATCATGTCTGTCAGCAAGGAAAGAGTGACGGCTGTGTGACTCTCCTATCATTAGGAAAAGATGTGCTCAAGAGAGAAAAATGCAGTCCAAGGAGAGCTGAGCAACTATAGGTTACAGGAAAACAAGAGTTCCAGACTATAAGGTCACCCATCCACCCCCACTTTGGACTTGGCCTGGGATAGTCTATTTTTCATTTCATGGAGCTCCATGTGTGGAGTAAGACATTATGTAACTTGGCCAGTCTTGGTGTGCAATATCCAGTAAGCGCTTTAAAGTGGCCATCGTTGTGAACCGTTGGGTGCATGTGGACACGATTGCTTCCTTTGGCTCTGGCCGAATGCGTTATTGTGTAATGAGGCTAGAGCTGGCCTCTGTTCAAAATTATCTTCCCAAAGGGCTGCTAGTCCAGCCACATGACAACTGGTTCTCTTTTTCGTGACACGTTATTTTAAGTAGACTAAAAACGTCCAACTGGCTCTATTTGAGCAGTTCCATGGGTGCAATGGGAATTCTTCATGTTTTACTCTCGGTTTGTTATTTTATGCTAAGATTTCTGAAGGCCAGCTAGCTGGAGCTTTAAAAGATATCAAGACACAAATTCCTAATCTCCTGCATTCTAAAATTGGGTGACCGTAGGCAGCTTGTTTCAAGTTTCTGGTTTCCTTATCTGTAAATCAGCCATAATGCCTACTCTAGGCTTTGGAAGAAGGCTTACGAGGAAAGCCCCTCCTTTAAAACTGTCACCCAGACAAGTTATTTCACCTGTGGTATCAGCTGTGCCCCCTCCTTGTAAAATGGGCTAATGGTGCCTACTAGCCGCAATAGATGAGACTTTGATAATAAAAGCAAAGCTCCTAGAACAGTGCCTTGGCGCATGGCGGCTCAGGAGTACCTGAAATTAAAGACACTAGTGCCAATTAGCATCCCGGCCTAGATGGATGCTGTTGACTTAATGAAAAGTTGGGGGGGAGGGGGGAAAGAGAATAGGAACCCAGGACCAGAACTTGGACAAGGCCAGGTGACCTGAGCCCGTCAGCTCCGTGGGGGTGACAGCCTGCACTACCAGGCACCCGGACTGAGAATCGCCTCGCCCCACCCCTGCCCGGGCGAATCCGGGTGGCGAGTTCCGGGCGGCCGCGGAACCCGGTCCCAGTGCAGGCCCTTCCTCTTTCCCTCCTCCCGCGCCTCCAGCTGTGCCAGCTGCGCCCGAGCCCCGAGATCCAGCCGCCGCCCTCACACAGGTGCCCACCCACGGCCGCCCGGTCCTTCAGGTAGGAGCCGCGCCGCGGTCCCAGCGCGCAGAGCTCCCGCGGGAGGGAGTCTGGTTTCCGCTGGCCTCGCCCCCTCCGCGCCTTGAACTTGGACGGGACCTTGGCAGCGGCTGGCGCCAGCGCCTTGCGGCTTCACGGGACCCGCCTCCCCTCCCCAGGGGCCAGGGGGCCTCCCTCGCGCCCCGGCCCGTCCAGTTCCTGCGGAGCGGACGCCGGCAACTTGGGCGCGCACTTTCTTCGGGGCGGGAGGCTGCGGGAGCGCAGAGCCACCCTGGCTCCAGGCCTAGATGGGGGTCTCCCTCTGCTGGGTGCACCCTTCCTCCCCCACCCAGACGTGCCCCCCTTCGCAGTGTCTGGCGCCCCCAGGTCCCCTCGCGTTCCCGGGGTGACAGGGGTGGCGGGCGCGCCCGCCGGGAAGCGCCGCGTCCCCAGGCTGAGAGCCCAGCCTGCAAGACACACAGTCCCGGGCGTGCGGCCACCCAGCTGCTCGCCAGCGGCTCCAGGAGGTGATGACGCCGCCGAGGCGGAGCACGGGACAGGGGACACAGGGCCTGGAGCGGGGACTGTTGTTTTTCTCTCGCTCCAGCTCCAAGTTATTTGGAATCCCGGTCTCAGCTGCGGGGGGAGCGCGGGGCTTCAAGTTTTGACGGGGATTTCGCAACGCCCTCCAGAACTGGCCTTGTAGAATCAGGCCAGAGCTGCCCCCACGCCTATATTTACTTGCGCCTTCTCTTAATCTCGGATCGTGGCCGCCTTTCCTTCCTCTCTCAAGTGCTACATGCAAGTGGATTCCTAAGAACCTTTAGGGCTTCTGCGTTTGACCCCCTCCTACGTCTTTCCCCGGAGAGGCGAGTTCCGTTAACCTTATCTGCCAGGCCTGCCAATTTCGGTTTAGATAACCCTCTGTGGGCCTTCAGAGGGTCTCCGGGAGACTAGGTCCCCAGAGACCTCCATGCTTTGTTAAATGGGCTAGTTAATGGCGTGCAATGAAAGCCTGAAGAATGAAGAGTGGAAAGCATGACCTAGTAACAGACCCCACATTTACACACTGCCTATCTGAACAAGGATCTCTTTAAGTAGTCAATGTTGTGTCACATATGTGCAAGTGAATTTGTACACGGGATTTTAGCTTGAGTTCTTACTCGGCCTTAGTACAAACTCAAGTGTTGTTTGGGAACCTTTTAACTAGTTGTTTGAGCTCCCAATTTGTCTTCTCTGGATCTAATATAAATCACAATTCATACAAAATATCTTTACCATATTTGTCCCTGGTGTCAGAATATATATGAACTATGGTGCTCATTTAGGTTTGATGGGGACTGTGCTGCTTGGAAGTGTGTGTTAGAATATATATATATATATATCATGATCACCCCTAACCACTCCCCTGCCAGCCTGATATATATAATATAAAAGAGTAATATGCAAATTGACTATACTTCATCTACACCCACAAGCCATACCTATCAGCCAATCAGAAGTGAGTATGCAAATTAACCCAACTAAGGTGGCTGCAGCCACAGAGTGAGCAGGAGGCTTGGGTTCCCCAGTGATGGAGGAAGCCAAACTTCCTGGCCAGCCCTGGCCTCTGTTCAAGGCTACAAACTTTCAATTATAGAATATAAATAAATCCCAGATCCCAGGGCCTCTGCTTGGGTCACCAGGGACCGTGGCCAGTTTGAAATCACCACAGGCCCCTCGACCAGGCTGCCCCATGTCCCAAGGGAATCCGCACCCTAATCCAGGATACCCTTCAGGGTAAACCAGCTGGCCCCCACCCCTGCATCAGGCCTCTATCCTATCTAATAAAAGAGTAATATGCAGATTGACCATCACTCCAACACACAATATGGCTGCCCCCATAAGGACACAAGATGGCCACCACAAGATGGCCAGCAGGGAAGGGCAATTGGGAGGGACCAGGCCTGCAAGGTAAGGTAGTTGGGGGCAATCAAGCCTGCAGGGGAGGGCAGTTAGGGGTGACCAGGCCTGCAGAGGAGGGAAGTTGGGGGCAACTGGGCCTATAGGGAAGGGTAGTTGCGGGGGAGATGGCCAGGCCTTCAGGGGAGGGCAGTTAGGGGCAATCAGGCTGGCAGGGGAGCAGTTAAGCATCAATTAGGCTGGCAGGCAGAAGCAGTTAGGGGCAATCAGGAAGGCAGGCAGGCGAGCCAGTGAGCCAGTAGTCTTGGATTGTGAGAGGGAGGTCCAGCTGCCCGTTTAGGCCCTATCCTACTGGGATTGCTTTAAATAGGCAGTCGGACATCCCTCAAGGGGTCCCAGATTGGAGAGGGTGAAGGCTGGGCTGAGTGACCCCCCCCACCTCCATGCACGAATTTCGTGTATTGGACTTTGGTATATATGTATGTGTGTGTGTATGTTTTTATTGATTTGAGAGAGACACAGAGAGGGAGAGAAACATTTATCTGTTGCCTCCTACACACCTCCTATTGGGGATTGAGTCCGAAACCTGAAACCCAGACACATGCCCTAATAGTCAATGGAATCTGCTGAGCTACAGGTGCGTGGGAGACATTCAACCATGTGAGCCACACCGCCCAAGGCTGTGTGTGTGTTTCTTGGGGTATGCAGGAGGCAGCTGATCAATGATTCTCTCTCATCATTGATGTTTCTATTTCTCTCTCCCTTTCCCTTCCTCTCTGAAATCAATAAAAAAAATATTTTAAAAACATTTCTTGTTGGGTTTTAATAACACTTTAATGGTAATGATTGCATTGCAGGCTTTAGTTTTCTCACTAAGCAAGGTCTGTGTCTCTTCCCAAAGCTGAAATGCACTTTTTAAAGAGGAAGGTGAACCGCCATCACTAGACTGATGTTTCCATCATCTCCATCAGGAAAGTTCTAATACATTATTATTCTAAAATACACTTGTGAGCTATTTCAATTTGTATGTAAAGGTATGGTGAGGTTTAGTTCTCCAGGGAGAGAAACAGGTAAGGGTGTTGTTGATAGTTTCCTCCCTTTAAAATCTAATGGGAAACTGGAATACTTTTTCTGTGTTAGCAGTGCAGTAGCACCTGTCTGAATTATGCATGAGTTCAGATTGTGGCACCTATTTAGTAAGCAAAAGTAGTTTTGATCCAGCAAGCTGGCGGATGTAGCAATGTCCTCTCCATTCTAGGTGTTTACTGAGTGAGGATTCACGCCAGGGGACTCAGCACGTAAGATATGGCCCTTTAAACTTCTTGTTAGTCTGGCTCATTGTTTTCTCTAAAGAAGTGCAGCTGTGCTAGGCCTGGTTTTCTGTTTACAATCCTTTAAGTCTTAGCACCACAAAATAAAATGTATTCTCCTGCTGGGTGTGGTTAAATGTTTTTGCAGGGTTAAAAAGAGAAACTCCTAACCTAAATTTCCCATGAGCAACTGTGGCATTTCTGATGAGAAAAGAAATCATACAAATTGTTATCTTATGTTTCAGTGGGAATGCGTTACAATGTGTTAGTTTCCCTAAATTCACAGTGTACTGTAGAGTCTGGACCCCAGATGTTTTAGTGATGGGTTATTGGACAACAGTGTATGTGATATACAAGTTACATGGCATCTCAGTTCTTCCCCCCCCCCCTTCTGTTGTGAACCTTTCTTAAATTTTAAATTTATGCTACAAACATTGCAGCGACAGAATAAAATGATTTGCTTATTTAATCAACACTTATATGGCGTTTACTGTGTACCAGGCACTACTCCAAGCATTTTACAACATGAACACATTTAACACAAGGTTGTTTTGAAAATAAATGCGCTCATCCCCATTTTATAAATGAGGCAATTGAGGCACAGTGAGATCATAAGGCCATCCCAGGAAGCCTGAATCCAGAATTTTGGGGCCTCTATCACCGGAAAAATGAAACCTGAGAGTCCACCCTTCTAACAAATAAACTTTTTTTTTTTTTCCAGGTTGCTATATTCCTGTCTTGTCCTTATCCTTAGGGGTAGATGATTTAATATCATTGCAGCTGGAGTGTAACATAGACAATCAGTTCAACTCCCTTATTTTTCAGAAAAGGAAATTAAGGTGGAGTGTGGTTATGTCCTGGGTTGTGAGTGTTAGGGCAGGATCCTGGCAACCCTCGACTGGGCCAAACCTTAACTCTTGATTGTGTGTAGGCTGGGGCAGGGATCCTGGGAGGTCTGAGGAGACCTGGATGTGCATTTAGGAGTGCAACGGTACTTGCCAATCGTTGTGACCATCCTGGAGCTAAGCTGCTAATTAAGGGCCTGATGATGTCTGGGGCAGACAGAGTGGAAGCTCATACAGACCATGGATGTGTTGCTGGTTAGGGCTCCACAATCCTGGATTCCTTTCCCAATGGTCGGTGAGGCCTGTGATCCCGCGCTCCCCTTTGAAAGCGGAGGATCTTTTATTTTGTCCTCAATCATTTTATGAGCTTCTTGGATCTAGAGTTGGGAACATTTTAAAAGTCTCTGACGCACATAAGAAAATCAGCCAAGAGCAACAGGCAAATAAAAATAATTTCGTTTAGTCGATTCTTTTGTTGAGAGAAAGAGAGACTTCTAAGAGCATAAACTGGCAAACTTTACATCAAGAACAGGAAAATCGAAGTTCAGGATTCAACAGTGGTTTTGTTCAAAGTAGGCTTTCACAGGCCGTACATTTGGGTGAAATAGAATAAGGAATAAACACTGGGAAAGGAAAACAGTGGAAAGGCGGGGAGAAGCAATTGCAGAGAGAGGAGGAAGTCAAAGAGGGAGCACAGAAGGTAAAAGTCAGGGTGCTAAAACCTCTGTCAGGTCTTTATACAAGTTTTAATTTATTTTATTTTATTTTAAAATATATTTTATTGATTTTGTTCAGAGAGGAAGGGAGAGAGATACAGAGTTAGAAACATCAATGAGAGTCATTGATCAGCTGCCTCTTGCACACCCCCTAATGGGGATATGCCCGCAACCAAGGTACATGCCCTTGACTGGAATCGAACCCCGGACCCTTCAGTCCCCAAGCCCATGCTCTATCCATTGAGCCA